GACAAACAAAATAACATAATTAACATTTAATAATTAAGCATGAGAAAAAATGATGCTATTAGGTGACACTGTTTTGATGAGATGAGGTTGTTTCTTGTGTAACATGACATAGTTTTACAACAAATTTTTTTTGTCAGTAGGGGTACACTAAAATATTGATTAAAAACTAATGATAAAAGTATGATAAAATATAGTATGTTAAATGCATAATCAATTTACTAATGTAACCATTTATCATCATTATTGAGTATATGAACTATACTTAATTATGTACTATATATAATGTATACTGTATAGTGTATATATGTATACTGTATATAATTTTATGTGCTATACTTTTATACGATTGGGAGTGCATTTGGTTTGTCACCACAAACACATGAGAAATGTGTTGTGATATCACGTTAACTGCAGTGTCACTAGGCAACAGAGATTTTTTAGCTCTGTTATATGGAAGCCATAATCTTATAGTGATCTTATGAAGACTACCATAATAGGTAGTCTGTCCTTGACAGAAATGTTATGCATCATTTATAACATGACATAGTTTTACAACAAACTTTTTTTTTACTTTCTAGTTAGAGCTGTCAAAATTTTCTTTCCTGTTTCTTGTTTTTTGTCATGCTTGTGAAGTCATAACATCAATTTTTTTGCTCCTAAGGTATGAAGAAATGGTCACTCATATTTTCTCTTAGTACTGTTATTTTTGTATAACTCTGTCTTTGGACTATTTGGAATTTACTTTGGTATAAGAGATCCAGCTTAGTTTTTTCCATATATTAGTTCTCCCAATATCATTTAATAAAGAATTTGTCTTTACTGATTTCAAATGGTTCCTTTATATAAAGAATTCTGTATTTGGTTGGGTCCGTTTTTGAGTCAGAGTGTTATACAACTGTCTCATTGCTTTCTGATTTTACAATTTGTAAATAGTGGTTCATTTATTAACTCTTTCAGTGCTTATTAGAGACTTTATTCTAGGCACTGGAACTATAATAAAACAAAATCTCTTTTATCCTCGAACTCACATTTAGTGATGTGTCTGTTGAATTTTTAACCACAAAAGGGGTCAGAAGTTTGGAGATAAAGTCTCTTAGAGACAGAAGTAAAGCTTGACTCCATTGGGTGTATGTGTGTATGTGTTTGTGTGTGTGTTGACTGAAATAGATAATCAAGGAGGAAATATCCCAGGAAATAGAAATAGAACAGGGATTCTTCATGTGCTTATGTGTAGATATGTGTCTATGAGGTTTACTGCCCATAATAATATGTTCTGATAGAAACAAAATTAAAGCAAAAATTAAGTTTCTTGGTTTAAAATTTCTTGTTTTCTTCTTTCACATTTGTTCTACTTTCTTTTTGTATTCCTTTCCTTCTTTTTAATAGCCTCTATGTTTTAGAGTAGTTTTAGGTTACAGAAGAACTCCACAAAGAATTCTCATATGTTCCCTAACTCCACACATACGTGGGCCTCCCTAATTATTGCTTTTTTTTTTTTTTTAACATACAGTAAACCTACACTGACTCATTATTATCACCTGAAGTCCATAGTGGGGGTTCATTCTTCTTGTCATATTATAGTATAATGATATGTATCTACCATTGTAGAATCATACAGAATAATTTTCATTGGTCATAAAATCCCCTGTTCCTACTCATTCATTTCTGTTTCCCTCCAGTGGCAGCCATTGACTACACTTTTTAGAACATCAGATAGTTGGAATTTTACAGAATATGGTCTTCTCAGAATAGCTTCTTTCACATAGTAGTATGTGTTTAGGGTTTGTCCAAGTCTTTTCATGTCTGGGTAGCTCATTTCTTTATATCTCTGATTAATGTTCTATTGTCTGTATGTACCACTGTCTTGTTTATGCATTCACTACTCAAGAACATCTTGTTTATTTCCAAATTTTGGCAGTTATGAACAAAGTTGCTAAAAACATCCTTAGTGTAGACCTGTTTTCAAATTCATTTGGGTAAATAATGAAGAATGCAGTTGCTGTATTGCATAGTTAAGAGTATGTTTATTAGATGAGAAACTGTCAACTATCTTCCAAAGCAACTATACATTTTGATTTCCCAGCAGTGAATGAAAGTTTCTGTTACTTCCTATCCTTGCTGTCATTTGATGTCGTCAGTATATTGGATTTTGGCCATTCTTATAGGTGTGTATTGGCATCTCATTGTTTTGTTTGCAGTTTGCAAAAGGCATATGATGTTTAGTGTCTTTTCATATGCTTATTTATTTACTTATATGTCTTTCATAGTTTTTTATGTCTTTTTATAGAGCCATTTGTTTGCATCTTGTATGCATTTTTTAATCAGGAATTTTTTGTTGAGTTGTTTGTATATTTAGGATAACAGTTCTTTATCAGATATTTTTTTTAAAGTGTTTTCTCTCAGTTTGTGGCTTATTTTTCTCTTTTTCTTTTTCTTTTTTTTTAAAGAGAGAGTGAGAGAGGAGACAGAGAGAGAGAAAGAGAATTTTAATATTTATTTTTTAGTTATCGGTGGATACAACATCTTTGTTTTGTATGTGGTGCTGAGGATTGAACCTGCCAGGCGAGCATGCTACCGTTTGAGCCACATCCCCAGCCCCTTTTCTCATTTTCTTGATACACTTTTTCTAAGTGAATGGTGACATATTTGAGGAGTTGCCCAAGTCAGGCACTGGGGTATCATCTTTTTTACTCTTTTTCCATAGTTTACATCTGATTCATTTTGAAGATTATGCCTCTTGAATATGTTCTGAGTCACGTTACTCAGCTTTTTGTCTGTGACAAAATCTCATAAGAACAATATGAAGGAGGAAAAGTTTAATCAGGTTCTTGGCTTCAGAGATCTCAGTCCATGGTCAGTTGAATCTATTTCTCAGGGTCTGAGGTGAGGCAGAACATCACAGAAAAAGTTCATGGCAGAGGGAAGCTGCTCAGCAAATGGCAATACAAAGCTGGGGGTGGTGGGTGGTGGGGGTAAGAAGAAGAAAGGGAGCAGGAAACAGAGAGGTAGAGGAACCAGGGATAAGATAGGAGCCAAGCCAAGCCAGCAGAGGGAAGCTGCTCAGCAAATGGCAATACAAAGCTGGGGGTGGTGGGTGGTGGGGGTAAGAAGAAGAAAGGGAGCAGGAAACAGAGAGGTAGAGGAACCAGGGATAAGATAGGAGCCAAGGCCACACCCTAATGACCTTCTTCTTCCATCCATGCCTTGCCTGCTTGCAGTTATCACCTGGTAATTCATTCAAATTATTGATCCATCAAATGGATTAATACACTGATGATGTTACAGTGCTCATAATCTTAATAATTTTATCACTGAACATTCATTCCTGCATTGTCTAACACAAGAGCTTTTCAGGGGATACTTAATATCTAAACCATAACAACTCTGGTAATACACACTTTTCACTTCTGAACCTTGATGTATTGCCTAACATGAACTCTTTGGGGAACTTTTAAAATCCAAACATGAATCTTTGAAATTTCTCTGTTACTGTCATAATTTGCTTCATATTCAGCTATCACCTGGTATAGTTGCTTTTAGAGTTGTCCCCGTGTAACTCATTCTTTCATGCTGCATAGAATAATCTTTTTTTTTCCTTTTAAAATTCTGTTGACAGTATTCCATCATTTTTATAGTTCCAGTTCCCTACCATGAGAGTCTTTATCTGTCTTCTGCTGGCTTTAGTATTCTTAACTTTTACATGCTTAATTTATTATAGCATGTGTACCTCCCTGAACTCTTGCCACCTTTCCCTTTCCTTCCCTTCCCTTCTCTTCCCTGGTTCAGCTAAACTTAGTGTGTTCTTCATTCCTTGGAGGGTCTGTGTTCTTTTTTGCTCTCTGAGCTGCTTGTACACTGTTCTTTCCTGTTAGAATACTCTTCCTTCTCTCTGCCCTCTGCCCGCTGCCCTATTCCTTGTTCTCACTTATTCTTTTTGTCTCAGTAGAGATGTCAGCTTCTCTGTGAAGTAATCCTGATTTGTCTTACCATCATTTGTAATAGTATATCTGCTTTATGCCTCTACCACACTGTCTAATTTATTGTATCATAGCTTTGTTTTGTATTTTGGTTAAAAAGGATTCTCTAATTCTTTCAGGTATTTTGTTTATTATTGGCCTTTTGTTTTTGTGTTTAAATTTAGAGCCAGTTTATTAAATTGTTAAAATATTTGATTATTTATTCGAGTTGCTTTGCGTAGTTTTATCAATTTTAGGGGAGAATTGATGTCTTTTAAGATACTGAGTTTTTAGTCACTGAACATAGCATAACTTCTTTTTTTTTCTTTTTTGTTTTCTTTCATGTCTTCCAGTAAATTTTCATATTGCTTTCCATGACGGTTCACATATCTATATTGTACCTGTGACTTTAAACAGGAGCCATTAAAGTAAACCCCACAGGACAAAAATCTTCGTACCATCTGTTTTTATAAGGCCCATGATATAAGAATGCTAAGAATTTTATAATTGATTGGAAAAAAATAAAATGAATATTATATGAAATGTAAAGAGTATATGAAAATTAATTTATGTGCATACATTTAGTTTTACTAGAATATTTCTGTGTTCATTTATTTCAGTATATTACAGCATTTGTAGTAATACATACAAAATTAATTTTTCCCAGAGATTATATGACCTGCAAATCACAGGTGTTTTATAGAAAAAGATTGCTCATCCCTGACTTAGAGTTTTTGTTTGTCTTATTGTTGGTATATTTCAAGATTTCTTTCTGTTTTAGGATGAAGGTGGTGGGGGGTAGAGTTTTTTAGCTTCCTTTTCCTTTACTGGTATCTCTAATTTTGATAAGACAATTCACAATGAGTCTATTTTATAGTTGTTTTTTTTTTATAGGTTTAATTGTACCTGAGCAGAGCAAAAGGTTGAAAACTATTGACATCTTCATTTATGTAGTGGTCGTTATAGATATGTTTTGCTATTTTGTATTTGTGAGTTTAAATAAAATGTGTCTTAATTTCCTTTTTTGGATATCCCCTTTTGTAGGAAATTAAACGAGACACAGATTCCAAGGATGACAATTTGCCCATCAAACGGGAAAGGCATGGAAATGTAGCAAGTCTTGTGCAACGAATAAGTACCTATGGACTTCCAGCTGGAGGAATTCAGCCACATCCACAAACCAAAAATATCAAGAAGAGTATGTAAATAATTCCTTTCTTGATTAATTACATCAAAAGAGGAGGATATTTCATAACCGTTGATAAATTCAGAAAAATTGGTTTAACCTTCTGCAGCCAGCTAGAGTAACTTTTAACTTATTATCATGGATTTTTGTCCCTTTTTTTTTCTTCTTGGTATTGAAGATGGAACCCATGTGTACTTTACCACTGAGCTACATCTCTAGTCTTTTTTTATTGTTTATTGTTTTGAGACAGGGTCTCCATAAGTTGCTGAGATGCTAAGTTGCTAAGAGTCTCATTATCAAGTCTGACTTTGAACTTGTGATCCTCCTGCTTCACCCTCTGAGTCTCTGAGATTACATGTCTGCTGCAACCATACCTGGAAAAGTTTTTTCTTCTGGATGCTGATAATGATAATAAAGATTTTCTAAGATTCTAAGTGTCTAAATTAAGTAAAATATGTAGTATCTTCTTGAGCGGCTTTATTTATTTATTTATTTATTTAGAGAGAAAGAATTTTAATATTTATTTTTTAGTTTTCGGCTTACACAACATCTTTGTATGTGGTGCTGAGGATCGAACCCCGGCTGCACACATGCCAGGCGAGGGCGCTACCGCTTGAGCCACATCCTCAGCCCCTCTTGAGCGGCTTTAAACTTTTATGGTCTAAGTATTTTAAAATTTTTATTCCTAAAGAAGCGAATTCTTGGGGCTGGGTTTGTGGCTCAGTGGTAGAGTGCTCGCCTAGCATGCATGAGGCACTGGGTTCGATCCTCAGCCCCACATAAATATAAAATAAAGATAACGTGTCCACTTAAACCTAAAAAAAAAAAAAATTTAAAAAAACAAATAAATAAACGTCTTTAAAAAAAAAGAATTCTTAAGGATTCAGCCATATGATAAGTGGCTGAATCACTGTTTCCTAATGTTTGATAATTTTCTTTGCTTACTGGAGAAGGAAATCTGTTAAAAAGCTTTGACTGATCAAGTGAGTTTAAATGCTGGAATAAAACCTAAAGGTATATCTTCGAGGGCCAAATTGAACCAAAAAGTGAGTCAGAAGTCCTTTTGCTCCTGTCTCTGAAGTTTTAGCATTCAGTCTTAGCTTCATTGTGGGATATGCTTTTCATTTTAGCATTTGATGGAAAGATTAAAAACAGTTTTCTTCAGTGAGATGTAGTTTCATAGTTGAAGACTTTTATTTGAGTTATTAATATTTAGATATGTTTTAGAATTATTAATATTTAGGCCTGAAATACATAACCATTATTGATGCCATCTGTTTGAAAATTAAGGATTTTTTGTTTTTATAGAGAAAGAATAAAGAAAGTAAACATCCTTCAGAGTGAAGTTTCACACACTTGGTTTTTATTTATTTATTTTTAGTTATCGATGAACCTTTTTAAAATTTATTTTTATACATGTGGTGCTGAGAATTAAACCCAGTGCCTCACATGTGCTAGGCAAGCGCTGTTAACACTGAGCTACAACCCCAAACCCACACACATTTGGTTTTGTTTTTCAAAAATGACAAAAAACTTTAAAAAAAAGTATTATAAGAATTTTAAAAAGTGTTTTCTGAAACTTTTTGATTACTATGTACTATTCAGTACATAGTATGAATGCCTAAATATCTGTGGGTATATTACCATGAGAAGTAGTGTTATTCTAGGTAGTTAAATCTGCCAGATAAGGTGGGTATGGATCATGATTCAGAACTTAAAGTCTGTTAGGGGCAAACTTCAAGTTACTATAACATAGGGATGATGGTAATAATTATCTCATAGAATTTTATTATTAACATGTTAAGTAATTATTATAAGTGCTTGGTAAATGTTTGTAGTTATTGTTTTATGCTTTAAAGAACTATTAGAATTTTAGATTAGAATTTAACATGTAACATGCAGTGATCCATTATATGCTACATGCTGTAGTAGAAATAGAAATGGTTTAGAAATGGGGATATCAGAAGTGAGTATTTTAGTTTTGCCTCATTTTAGCCCTATGGTGTTTAACAGATTATTTAACTTCTTAGTTTTGTTTTCTCATTGGTTAAGTAATGAAAAGTTTTTATGTGTTGTTGTATGGAAGATGTTTATGAAAGACTTTAAATAGTGCAGATACATACTATAAGGACATGAAATGTTTCTACCTTTGCTGTACCTCCTTTAACCTCATTTTAGTTAATATTAATAGCTTTACTTATAAAATATTGATTTAAAAATTCTTTTACCATTAATTTCTTTGTAGCTCTGAAAAGCTGTATGGATGTTTTTATGATAAGAAAATGGTTATTTTAAAAATTTGACTTAAGTTCATTCATCTTTTTTGACAATTTGCTTTGTATTTGTTTTTTTCCCCTTTTGTGTTTAGCACAGGTTCTGATCCATTTTTAAAATTAATAATTGATCAATATATATATATGGGTAGACACTGTGCAATTTATAATGTGAAAAATCCAAAATTCCTTTAATTATCTGCCAATTAAATCAATGGTTGAATTCAGTATACTGCCAACTCAAGAGTGAACCCATAATGCAAATATGAAATTATGTGAAAAAAACTTTAAACCGCTCACGTTTAATAGTAATAATAGGAGCTATGTAGGTGTTTACTATTCATTGTGACATGTTTTCTTTGAAAAATGAAAAATTCCTTTGCAAATTATTCTACAAGCTAATCTAAAACTCATACCTAGTATGGAAGGAAAAATACAAGTCTTGTTTAAAATATGACTAGGTTCCAAGTTAATTGACACTCCTGGGGTTGGGACTCACTCAAAATACTCTAATTATCTAAAGTCCAGTTTTAAGAGATAATGAGACATAAGAAAAAGAAGCAAACCATATATCTTAAAAAGGTCTAAAATTATCAGAAAAAATAGATTTTCTTCTTTTAAGAGAAGCCTTAGGAAAATCAATTTTTCTTTTCAATAATATAGATAATCTCCCCTTGTCTAAGAAATGCTAAATAAATTGAATCCTTTAATCCTGGATGCTAAGCCCATACCTGATATGCTACCTAGTTGGGAGTCCGAGGCAGGAGAATCACAATTTCCAGGCCAGCTTGGGTAATTTAGCAAGACCTTATCTCAAAATAAGGAAAGGCTGAGCATGTATATAGCTTAATGGTAGACCACTGCTAGGTTTGATCCCTACTTTCTCAAAACAACAAAAATCCATTAATGAATACATTTTTGTCTGCTCGCTGCTAGAACTTGCAGAACTATTTAGAGATGGAAAGCTCCTGAAGTATGACTAGGTTCCAAGTTAATTGACTTGGAACTATTTTCTTCAAATTATTGCTTAAAAAATTACCTGACTGAATGAAAGGTTACCTTTAAAAAATTCTGCTATGAAGTCTAGGTCAGTTACAAAATTGTTGTCATTGTTTACTTTCTTTAGTTTTTGTTTCTTATAACACATGGAATAATAAATCAGATGTAAATTATTAATTTTTTTAGGAAGAAGGGAAAACTTATGGAGTTTTAACTATTTAGAGACTCAGTTCATTCTAGTTGATTGTGATGTCTGTTTTACATATGGTTGATTGTATGTAATATGTTTCTTTTGAGGTGGGGGTTTGGTTAGACTTTTTTTTTCCTTCTTGATAAATAATTTCATAGATCTATAGAATGTAAGAGAATAAAATAACTCTAATGGTTATCCAGTTCATCTCTCTTGTTCTCGTACCCTCTCTCCCTTTCTGTCTTTAAATGGCTTAGGAAACTGATTCTAAAGAATTTAGGTGAATTAAAAATATTGTGTCAACTTTATCTTCTGATTTTCAAACCAATGATATTCTGTTGTAGGGTCACAGCCCCACCCCTCTCGCTCTCTATGTTTGTAGTACTGTGAATTGAATCCAGTGCCTTGTGCTTGCTGGACAAACGCTCTATCATTTGATATACATCCCAGCCACTCCTACCCCTCCCACCTCGCTTCTTTTTTTGAGACTGGGTCTCACTAATTTGCCCAGGCTAGTTTCCAACTTGTGATTTCTCTGCTTTAGACTCTTCCATATTTTCTCCAGGTCAGACCTGTTCATTCCTTTAGTTTTTGGAATTTTTTTTTTTTTTTTAAAGAGAGAGAAGAGAGAGAGAATTTTTTAATATTTCTTTTTCAGTTTTTGGCGGACATAACATCTTTATTTTATTTTTATGTGGTGCTGAGGATTGAACCCAGTGCCCCACACATGCCAGGCGAACACATTACCGCTTGAGCCACATCCCCAGCCCAGGAATATTTGTTGTTTGCACTAAATATTTTACCATCTGCAGGTACATCACTAATTGTTGAGGTCTTTAAGTGTATATTTAAATTGTTAAGATAAATATTGTCAGAATTGTGGGTGATAGATTGCTGATGGAATGTAGTCACTTGGAATATTATTATTATTTTTTAAAATATTTATTTATTTATTTTTAGTTGTAGTTGGACACAATACCTTTATTTCACTTACTTATTTTTATGTGGTGCTGAGGATCGAACCCAGGACCCTGCGTGTGCGAGGCGAGCACTCTACCACTGAGCCACAACCCCAGCCCCTAACACTTGGAATATTATTAATTGGCACTGATACCATATGGTTAGGTGCTTGTTGATTAATTCATTCAAAAAGATTTATTGGATACTACTCTGGGTTGAATGATAGTCCCCTCCAAAATTCAGGTTGAAACTTAATTTCTATTGTTGTGGTTTTAAGAGGTGGGCCTTTTGGAAAATGATTAATTCATAAGGGGTCTGCCTTCATGAATTAATTAATGCTTTATAAAAGGTCCAGAGGGAAGTAGTTTTGGTCCTTTTATTGCCTTTCCATTTTTTGCAAAGTTGAGGATTGTGTAACAAGAGGGCCCTCATCAGACATGAAACTTTCTGGCACTTTGATTTTGGACTTCTCAGCCTCTAGAATTGTGAGAAAAAATTTCTACCCTTTATTTCACTGTTCTCAGGTATTTTGTAATAGTTACATTGTTAGGAGATGTCCATTACTAACAATGCCCATTACTCTTATTTAGCCTCTAGAGTAGAGGAGGATACTCAAAAGAAATAAGTTCAGTGTGATAGCCTGAAAAGAAAAAAGGTGAATTTTCAATCACAGGTAGGTTGCAGAATCCAATAGGATAAAGTACATGAAACTACAGAAGTGCAAAGAAGAGTACATAATTCATAAAGATGGGTGGAGGTTAGTGTTTCATAGCTGAGAACTGAAGATGAAGACAGAGTGAGGTTTATGGATGAAAGTAATTGGTTCTTGGCAAGAAAAGCATTTAAATATTAGAAGGAATATGATATGCCATTTTCCAGAAATTAAGGATGAGCATGTTGGTCAGCTTTCTTGTTTCTGTGACCAAAAGACCAAACAAGAACAACTTAGAGGAGTAAAGATTTCTTTTGGCTCCTGGGTTCAGAGCTCTGAGCCTGAGATGAGGCATAGCATCAAGGCATGATAGAGGAAAGCTGCTCAGTTTATGGCATCCTCCAAAGAGAAAAAAAAAAGGAACATGGAACAAAATAAAGTGCCAAGGACATGCTTTTAGTGACCTAATTCCTCCAATCATGCACCATTGATATTATTATCCATTAAATGGATTAATCCACTAAATGAATCTATTAAATGGATTAGCCCAGTAATGAGATCAGAGCATCATGATCTAATCATTTCCTTTAAAGCCTCAACTCTGGACATTGCTGCATTACCTTCATTACATGAGCTTTTAGAGAGGACATTTCAGATCTGTGTTGAAACAGTCAGGATAACTGGATCACTGAGTGGAAGACTAAGTGACTCAGTTAAAGTACTTATTTGAATTTATTCTTCTAGGGTTGCCATAACAAAATACCACAAACTAGCTGACTTAAATAGTAGAAATTTTGTAACATTTTTGAAGATTTGAAAGTCTAAGATCAGAGTACCCCTGGGGTTAGTTTTTGGTGATTGTCTCTCCACCTGGCGTGTAGAGGTCACCTTCTTACTGTTTTTTCACATGAGTCCCTTTCTGCTGAGGGGTGGGCTGATGTCTGTTCTTCTTTTAAAAGAATACAAGTCTTTTCTGATACCAGTCCTTCCCAGTTAGGACTCCATCTGTATGGCTTGTCTTAACCTTAATTACCTTCAGAAGACCCTGTTCACCAAATGCACGTTGGGAGCTAGGACATCAATATATAAATTTTAAGGGAGACACAATTCAGTCCATAACATACGGCTCTGAAGTAGGTAATAACTATTGCTGATCTGAGGAACATATTTTGGATAGCAAGAATAATCACTTAATCAGTTACACCTGGTTGTCTACCCATACCTGCTTAATGATTCACTTTTTTAAAAAAAATATTCTTAAGTTTTAAGTGGATACAAAATCTTTATTTTACATTTATGTGGTGCTGAGGATCGAACCCAGTGCCTCATGTATGCTAGGCAACCACTGTACCACTTAGCCAAACCTCAGCCCCACAATTAAAGATGAGAGTGAGTCTGAGTTTTCAATTCTTGGAGCTTGAAAGATGTTGAGCATATAAGTCTGGAACATTATAAATGATCGTGTTTTGAATAAGTGAAACTTGTAGAATTATTTTTGTCTTCACTTATGTGTTTAATTTTTATTTGTCAGAAAATAAGAGATATTGAAAAAGCTAAAACATTCTAGGTTTGTACATTTTGCCTCTTTTTACTGAAGACACTCTTCAAAGTAGCATATTTTAAATATTCTTAGGCTTTGATCAGGAAGTAGTTTGAAAAATCACTGCCCTGGAGGACTTATGATAAAATTTTTGGGTCAAAATGTCATTGTTTGTTTTTGTTGTCTTAAAATTAGATAATGGATGTTTTGCTTTTGTGTAATAGTGGGATCAGGTAATATAAATTAACACCATTGATGGAAACTTTGTACTTTATATATAGTTGAATCTATTTGCGAATGAATACATTATGTCATAGGGGCAGAGTTAAAAATGTCAACTAGGGCTGTTTTTGGTTAGCTTCTTAGAATGCTCATATGTTCTGTCTAATTCATCCTTATAGGTCCTCTGATGATAAACATGTAAACAAAGATACTGTTTTTAGAACTCATCTTTCTTAAACTAATTTTTTATTGTTACTTCCTGTAGAGACCAAGAAAAGGCAGTGTAAAGTTCTTTTTGAGTACATTCCACAAAATGAGGATGAACTGGAGCTGAAAGTGGGAGATATTATTGATATTAATGAAGAGGTAAGTATAACATCTGTTAGCACCCTTAGTAGAACCTAAACATTTAAAACAATTATGAACCTGGCATGGTGGTACATGCCTATAATCCTAGCAACTTGGGAGGGTTGAGGCAAGAGAATCACAGGTTCAAAGCCAGCCTCAGTAACTTAATGAGACCCTGTCTCCAAAACAACAACAACAACAATAATGTATATGAAATATTTTATTAAATAGTTTTGTGGAAATTGAGTAACCTTGTTAACTAGTGAGTATAAATATTTTTTCTAAAGAATTTGATTTATAAAGATTTCAGTTTGGAGCGGGTGTTTAGTAGAGTGATTATGAATATTTAAAAGTAAGTGATTATCATACTTTATGGTTAAGAATCATTGTTCAAGTATAGGGTCAGTATTTTTTTTGTTAGTAATCAAACTTTTTCTAAGTTAAAATTTTTCTAAATATCTTAAATAATGTATGTCATAATTATACACCAAGGCCCAGTAATTTTTAAAAGAATGACATTCTAAAAGAGACCTATGTACTTATTGCTATTGATACATAATACTTGATTATCTGATATTTTCATGAAAAATAATTTACTTCATAGGGTGTGATTGATTACATATTTGCATTGTAAATATTTTAAAGGATAATATTAGTTCCATATATCCATTTAGATTTAATATATTTTCCCCCTTTTATCTTAAAGGCCGTATTTTTTTTCATTAACTTGTGTTTCGTAGCTTAGGTTTTCATAGGCTAAAAAGGTTTTTACTTAAAAGAAATTTTTATCATTTTTAAGTTGTGGACTCTTTCAGGTAGAAGAAGGTTGGTGGAGTGGAACCCTGAACAATAAGTTGGGACTGTTTCCCTCAAACTTTGTGAAAGAACTTGAAGTGACAGATGATGGTGAAACTCATGAAACTCAAGAGGATTCAGGTAGACTCTTTTTTAAAAAAATTGAATGAATTATTTATTTTGTAATTTTTCATCTGTATTCTGACTAATTTTTGAACTCTGAGTTAGATGTAGGTAATCTGCTTTTAATGAGAATAAAGGTGAACTAAATAGCTTACGTCAAATAATTTTAATACTTAATTTCGTCTTTGATCTCTACTTCATGCCTTTGTTATACTAATGAAAAATGCTATTTATGTTATCTGTTCTTTCTACTTAAGATTTATTTATGTAAACTTTTGAACTGCTGAGTTTGGAAATGGCCTGTGTAATACTTGAGGTAATTTGGAAATTACAAAAATCTTACATTCATTGTTTTCCATATTCACAAGATAGATTTTGTTTTTCTTGTGCAGTCAATTGTCATTTTATTATTATTTTTTTAATTTTTGTCATTTAGAGATGCACACAGATTGAGAAAATTTTACTCCAAGCTAGATTTAAATTTTGTGATCTATAAAAGTGGTAATTCAGGAATATGTAGATCTTTTTCTTGATGTGGAAAGTTAATGTAGTGAGAATTTTCAGGGATTTATGGTTGTATTAACTAGTGTTGTGTGGCAATTTTATGATTACATAGATTCATAGGTAGTAAGGGGTAGGCTACAGCCTTAAGGTTGTCAGGATCACTGATTCTTTTCAGAGCCAGTGTAATACCAAGGTATAAAAAGTACATATTAAAAACAATGAGATGATATGGTAAGATTGCTTAGACTTATGTCATGCACCTGACACTTTACATTGTATCGCATCGATACATAGTATTATAAATCTCTGTATAGATCTACTAAGTTTTTGGGCTTCCATGATGGCACCTATTTCTTAGTTATCTTTGCTTAATTATAATGTCTTTGTTTGCAAGACAGAAGTAACAGTTTTTTCCTGAAAGAGTTATTTTGGATTGACAAGATAGTTTCCAAACATAATACTTTCTTTTGTCAGGACAACTTTCAATGTTTTATAAGTAGATGAGCAAACATTTTGAGATTAAGTAAGAAAATTTTATAGGGTTGTTTTTATAGAAAATGGATTTATAAGCCTCAGTGGCAAGGGAATAAATTTTAGAGAAAAGAAACCCAAATCATAAGTTTACATTTAATAGATGATAGCATTAAACATAATTGATAAAAGGGATCTACAATTAATGGTTAAGATTATTTCAAAAATTAATAAATTAATGTGTTCTGTTTGTGTTCAGCCATTTTAGATCTTTTTTTGTTTTTGTTTTTTTGGCAGTGATGGGGATTGAACTCAAGGCCTCACACATGCTAGGCAAGTGCTCTAGCTCTGAACTACACCCAGTTCTTTTTATTTTGAGACAGGTTCTCTCTCAGTTGCCAAGCCTGACCTCAAACTTGTAAACCTCTTCCCTCAGCCACCAGAATAGTTGGTATTACAGATGTGTACCACTGAGCCAGTATTTCAGCATGGTTTTATTGATGTTTTTTCTCCCTGATTGTTGAATAGTACCACACAGTTTATTTTTCATGTTTCTTTAACTAGACTAATTTCCTAGCTTTTTTTCTATTTTTCTTGACAGATTTTAGAGTTAAGGCAATTTATTTTGTAGAATGACTCCTACTTGGGATTTTCTTCTAATGCATCATTAGATTTAGATAGTATTTTATTGGCAGAACTACAGAGGAATGTTTCTTGACATTATATTGGAAGACAGTGATGTCTGACTTTTATAATTGGTGGTGTTAAATTTTATTAAAATTTAATTGTGAATTTAGTTAAAACAGTGCTGCCAGTATAAATAAGTTTACTGTTTTTCTCCATATATTTAAGTGTTTTGTAGGAAAACACTTTGAATCTATACAACACTGTTTCTCGTTAGACTTTTATCCAAAGTTACAGCATTATAAATAAATTTTGCCTGAATCAGTTATTGTTCTCATGGTTGCAAACAGGTCATTTTATGACTCTGTCATCCCTTTGATTTTATTCTCTAGAGTTACTTTTCTTTGTCTTCAGCTTACTTATTTATCACTGTGGACTATTTAGTGAGTTCCATTTATTCACTCACCATCAATCTATAACTATTATTTATTTTTTATATAGGGGATTGTACCACTGACCTATATCCCCAGGCCCCCTTTAAAGTTTTTTGTTTTGAGACAGGGTCTTACTAAGTTGCCTAGTTCCTGAGGCTGGTCTTGAATTTGTTACTCTCCTGTTTTAGTCTCCAAAGTTGCTGGAATTATAGATAGGTATATGCCACTGTGCCTAGCCAGCAATATTTATTTTGACATCCCTCATATATGGCCATTGTGACCTTTTAACTTTCTTGGACAAACATAGAATATGTTTGTCCCTTTAAAATATACAGGTTGTTGAGTTTGACAGATGTGAGATGTGTAGATGCATAGAAAGCACCACCCCACAAAAATAAATATACAGAACATTCTGTCACCTCCAAAATATCCCCCTGCTTCTTTGCAGTCTGTCTTTTTCTCTCCTTATCTCTAGGCAATGATGGATCTGCTCTTTTTTGTTGTTGGTGTTATTTTAGTCATTTTAGTTTGCATTGCTATGTCCTTTTGACGTTTCTCAATTATTTTTTGAAGATGTCCTTACTTTGCAATAAGGGATCTTCCATACTAAGTTTGAGCTTTACTTTCCCAATCCTTGAATCAATGACTTATCAAGGCAACCTTGGTTTCTTTTAGAGAGGAAGATCCAGGACAAGATGTAGGAGGTGGTGTGCTCATTTCTCCTTGGAGTGATGTTACTTTGAGGCCATCTTAGTGGACTAAGCTGGGGAATGCCTACACACATAGACTTCTACCTCTCTCTCTCTGTTAAATAAACAATTTAATAGCATATATTATGTTCTGATTTCTCTATAGATGTGTGAAATGAGTAATTGAGTTTGCTTTACTTTTAAAGGAATTTAGTTTTTCTTATGAGTTTTAGTTATCAATACTTTGCAAGTCATAATTATATTGCCTATGTTTGTTTACTTTTTGGCATAAAAGCTGTCATACATTAGGCTTGAAAGGATAAATGTTTAAAAGGCAATATTTTAATTTTTCTGTTATTTGATGTGTACAGAAAAACTAACGTGAATTCATGTTATTGATTAGATATTATGTTCCCTAAAAGATCATACATGAGACAACACAAGGACATTTCAGAGGTGAAATGATAAGATTATGAGAGCCTTATTCCAGTCAGTGAATTAATTCCTGATGGGGATTAACTGATAACTCAAGGCAGGTAGGGTGTGGCTAGAGGAGATGGGCACAGGAGTGTGCCTTTGGGGTACATATTTTATATCTGGTAAGTATAGTCACTCTCTGTTTCCTAGTGTGATATCTTGAGCTCCTTCCCTCCACTACAGTCTTCTACCATGATGTTCAGCCTTACCTCAAGTCCCAAGTAATGGAGCTGGTTTTCTATGGACTGAGACCTCTGAAACTGTAAGCTCCTACATAAACTTCTCCTCTAAAATTTTTCTTGTCAAGTCTTTTAGTCATAGCAGTGGAAAAGTTGACTAAAACAATTCATTTTCTAAAAGATTTAGAAGAGACTTCTTAGAATTTTAGAAAATGACAAAGAAAAAATGTTACCTAGTACTTTCATAAAATACTGTTGATTTGTTCTAGGAAATAGACAGCAAATAATAAATATTATAATAATAAAGAGTTAGGAATAATGGGCGTGGTGGCTCATGCCTGTAATCCCAATGGCCTGGGAGGCTGAGGCAGGATGACTTCAGAGTTCAAAGCCAGCCTCAGTAACTTAGTGAGGCTCTAAGCAACTCAGTGACACTGTGCCTCTAAATAAAATACAAAAAAGAGCTGGACATGTGCCCCAGGGGTTAAAAACCCCTTGGTTCAATTCCCGGTACCCCCCATCCCCCCAAAAAAGAGGAATAATGAATGAGATCTTGAGAAAAAAATTGCCATTTAATTATAAATAATACCTGCTTTTCAGGAAAGGAGTTAATTGTAGTAATAATGAATAAGTAATAAAGTTAACATGTAAATTAGTTTGATTAGTTTTAAATACTGTGTTTTTTAGAATAGCACATATAACCTAAGAAAGAAGTGGAGGACATTTTAATCACGTGAATATTTCTTAAGCCTTTTGTAATCTAAGTTCTGTGCTGGTTTTGTAAAGGGACAAATCTCTCTGTGATCCAGAGGTTTAAGCTCTACATTTCTGGTGGATAAGACTAATAGGAACTAAATAAACTTAGATAATAGGGTAAAATGATTTAATTTACCCTAAATAGTCATAGGGAATTTGTGGGGCAGATCTAAAAATTGTCGCTTTATTTTGCTTAATTTGCAGATTTTTTTTTTCATCTTAGAAATATCCCAGGAAACATTAGAAATCTAATCAATAGCGCTCACTCCAGCTATTTAAGCTTAGAGGTTATTTTCTAAAATCTTGTTTTTTCCCTCTTCTAATTGTTCTTTTCTTTATTTCTCTTATTATCCTCTGTGCAATCAATCAGTCCCCCAAACCATTTCTAATGGTGATAAACAACAAAAATTTGTCATCTTAACAGTTTTTAAGTGTCAGATGCTGATTCAGTTGAAAGGTACAAAAATTATTTGAGTTAGAAATAGAAGGAATCAAATCAATGAGATAGGAAAAAGTAGAGAAGTGATGATAAGTAATGATAGGTATCTTTTTACTACTTTATGTTACATTTGACAATATATAGTATCAGTTTTGAAGGCAGAACTAAATGTTTAAGGATATATAAAAATCTCTAGAGAACAAATGTAAGTACCAAAAACATAGTGCTTTACTTAATACTTAGTTAATACTTAGTAAGTATTAAGTTTGCTGGGTTACTTCTAATACAAAGTGATATTTCTTATGGTTCACAAGTATTGGATCTCCTGGTAATTATTTTTTACATTAAAATTTGGTATAAATTAAAGCTTATTAGTGAAGTTATCTTTATAATGCTATGTGAACTATGTAAAATTATGAATACTTTGAGCATTTTCTGACACTCT